CTGGGTGCGCAGCAGGCCCTCTCCGGGGTCCCTGCTCTTCCCGCTCCCTCCCTCCCGGGGCTGCCTCTTCAGCTCCCAGGCCCCGTCTTCGACTCGGTGGTGTCCTTACCTGCATACCGGTCTGTCCCCTGGTACCTCAGTCTTAGGCCCCAGACCAAATGCATCCGCTTCCCCCTCCAAACCCTGCACTCCATCCTTCCGGCTGCCCGAGCCAGCAATGTGGTCGTCCCTCCTGAGCCCTGTTTTTGACCCATTGCCCTTATCAACAAGCCGCCGATCACAGTGCCAACTCCCCTAGCGCTATCCCCACGCTCAGTGTTAGAGGTGCCTCGCACGAGGTGGCGGCTGCTCGCAACGACCCCGTAAGGTGGCTTCTCATTACAGTGATCTTTAACTTGCTACGTTAACTCACTAAGGGCCACACACCGAAGCAGTCGGGATCAGAACCCAGGTTCCAGAGCTCGTGCTCAATCACCCCTCCATCCTGCCTCTCCACGACTCAAGGATCTGTGTCCCCATCTGCCTGTCTGCGCTGCCTCTGCCCTGGCCAGCCACCGTCCCTGCTGGCCTGGCTGCAGTCACACTGGCCTTGCTCCACAGGCCTAGCCAGCAGTCAGAGTGAGCTTTCTAAATATGTCTCTCTCTTGCTCAAAATCCTGTCGTGGCTCTTAGGAAAAGCTCCTTCATGCAGCACACAGGGCTGTTCGGTGAGCTCGAGTCCTTCGCCAGCAGTCAGTCTGCTTTCCCTGCTGAGCTGTCTGTCACCACCCTACAGCCCACGCTGTCACCACCCACTCTTTACACGTGCCCTCTGCCTTAACACCCTTCCTCCCATTTTCCCTGGCCAACCACCACAATGTTCATAGCTCAACTTAAAAGTCACTTCCTCCAGGAAGCCTTCCGGGGGCGCCTAGTCTGGATTGCGGTCTCTCTTCTGTGTCCCCGCTCATTGCATTTCTTCCGTCACGTTGAATCGTAAGCGTCGGTTTATCTGCGTGTAGCCTTCGTGTCCATAGCTCCCTGGGACGTGAATGCCCTGCCTCTTGTTCTCTCTTCTTCCTCAGGCACTGCACGGGGACAGGCGATCAGGGTTAGGTGGCCGCACGCATGAACGAGTTGTGAGCGGCGAGGGTAACATTGGATTTGTATTAGATTCCTAAACCCTTGCCGTCGACCTCAAGTGTCTTTTCTGTTTCTACGGTTTTACTTCCGCTGGCGACACTGCTGAGAACAGCTTTGTCCGCTACGCTTTTATTTTTTAAGTTCCATGTACTTCTTCAGGGCAAATGCCCCGAAATGGAATTACGGAGTAAGAGGGGAAGAACCTCTTTCTGTCCCGTGATACATTTTGCAAAAATGAATTCCAAAATTCTGGTAGCAATTTGGGAGGCTTTTTCTTTTTTAGCAAATGAATCCTCCTTCCCTTGCTAAGTGTCTTCCTGGCGGAAGCTGCGCAGAGCTATTTTTACCTAAAGGCTGTAAACCTCATCATTCCCAGTCGGGCGTGTGTGCAGGAACTGTCTACCCGCTCACGGCCCACCCGCCCCTGCGCGCTAGCCTACTTCTAGGTCATTTGGGAAAAGCAAGTTCAAATTATGGTCCAAATTAAACGGTGGTTTTGTCAAAGAAGGAAAGCTCACACACACATTACAAACGTCTAAATTCTAACAGACCAGGCAGTTATCAGAGGAAAACCAATGAACTGTGGGAGCTGACCGCTATGAAAAAATCAGAGCCGAAAGCAACTTGGGGGCGGGGGATCATCTGGCTTTCAAACTTCGC